CGTGCGTGCCCAAGATCCCGAGAGGAGAATGGAGGAGAATGGATTGTGGCATGGCCATCCCCTCTGGGGGGTGATTTCTCGCTTTTTATCTCTCTGTATCTCTCTGTCTTTCTGGCAAGTACACACGCCCAATAAGAAAAAAGCTTTCCAAAAAAAAGAAAAAAAAAGAATTATTTTATTTAATTTTTAAATTAATATTATCATTTTCCAGTTTGATCATCCAGAGAGAGAGAGAGAGTGAGAAAGCAAGCCACCAGGTTTGGGACTCAAACCATGGTCCGCAGGACCAGCAGTTAACGTAATGGCTATGTCACTGGACTCCCATGTAGTCGACCGTGGTTCGAGTCCCAGACCTGGCAGCTTAAACTCTCGCCGGGTGTGTGTGCGTGTGCCCAAGATCCCGAGAAGAGAATGGAGGAGAAGGGATTGCCATGTGGCCATCCCCCCTGCGGGGTAATTTCTCACTTTCTGTCTCTCTCTGTCTTTATGGCGAACACACACATCCTATAGCAAAAAAAAAAAAAAAAAACCTCTCCAAAAAATAAAAACCGTGGTCAGCCATGTGGGAGTGTCCAGCACCTTAACCACCACGCCACCTGCTGGTCCCCTAACTTTTCTTTTTAAGTTAAGATCAAGATAAATATGACATTTCCAGTGGTCAGATCTGGCAGCAACATTCAAGATGATTCATAAAAACAAAATAAAACATAAACAACTGCAACTAGATGGTTTAGTAGATTACGCATGAGTGATGAGAACTGGGCAGTGCATGAACACAGGTGAGAAGTACGTATAAAGCACAGTATCAAGGAAGAAGCCACAGGAATGAGGGAGGAACTGAGTGTGTCTTCAAAACATGATGCATTCTTGCTGATACCATGATTTCTAGGAACTGAAAGGGTAGGAGAAGTTAGAATAAGAAGTTTGTTTTCTTTAATTTTGCTATAGAGTTCATGCATTCACAGGAAGAGAGAGCGATAGACGGCAAGTGAGAAATCACCCCCACGGGGGATGGCCATGCTCAATTTTATCTCCTCTATTCTCCTCTTGGGATTTTGAGTATGCACATGCATATTCCCACCAATTTTCAAACCACTAGGTCTGGGCTTGAACTGCATAGTGGGCCATGTGGGATCCAGCTGTCTCAACTGCCACGCCATTGGCTGGTTTGAGAATGAGAATTTTTTTTTTTTTTGAAAGGTGGCTCCTTTTTCTTTTTCTTTTTTTGGAGAAGTTTTTGCTAAAGGGCACATGTGCTCGCCAGACAGAGAGAGAGACAGAGAGACAGAAAGCAAGAAACCACTCCCCAGGGGGGATGGCCATGCCACAATCCCTTCTCCTCCATTCTCCTCTCAGGATCTTGGGCACACATGCACACGGGCCTGGCATGAGTTTAAGCCACCGGGTCCGGGACTTGAACCGCGTTCTACGTGGGAGTCCAGCGGCATAGCCATTACACTAACTGCTGGTCCCAGGAAAGGTGGTTTACTAAGTTTCAAATGACAAGAGTGTTTCTATATAGAAATGCCATAAATGCCAAGGGTACATGAGGACTGAGTTCGTATGGATGTTTAAGACAAAGGGGAAAAAATGAAAACTACAGGCGTGCAAGGGACAGTTCAAACCATTACAGTGCATGTGGGAGCATACACAGAAATGGAATAGCCGTGCAAAAGAAAGAGGGAGCCCAGGAATTGGGGCAGAGACTGCTGGCTGCTCACTGAAATCTGGTCTCCCCATTTTTGAACCATAACTAGATAATATTTCTCAATCTCCTTTGAATTCGATTGAGTGATGTCACAGAGACCTCCCTTGTTAAGTGAATGACAACAGAAGTGACGGCGTACTCCAAGCTGGCCCAGAAAACCTTTCACATGAACTTCTCTGTGCACTTACTCTACGCTAGTTAAATGCAGATGTTGCGGAGGCCCTAGGGATGGTAGAGCCACAGTGGAACCGCCAGGGGGAGCACTGTCAACTCACCCAAACGCTTCCTCCAGACCTGTCTGTGAGCAAAAACTGAAGTCATGTTTTATTTGAGACAATTCATCACTCAAAAATGAAATTTTGAAGTCTGTGTGTTACAATAGTTTATCTATGCTAACGAAAGCAAAAATTATGTATCTGCATTAAAAAATACATAGGGGGGCCTGCAGGTGGTGTGGTGGTTAAGGGTGCTGGACTCCCACATGGCCAACCGTGGTTCAAGTCCTGGACCTGGTGGCTTGCTTTCTCACTTCCTCTCTCTCTCTCTCTGGTCAAATTAAATAAATAAATAAATAAATAAATAAATAAATTTAAATAAAACAATTTATTTTTTAAAAATAGGTGAGAAGCACTGGAAAAACAGTAAAATGGATAGAGGAGACAAAAATAATTGAACTAGCTAGGAAAGGGTATCAAAGAGATGAGGTCTGGATAATCTCATGCTACCATAGAACAGTGCCACAAGAACACAAACTGTGAAGTGAGGATGACCGAATTAACATGTCGATCCCAGCGAGAGGTAGTTAACTGCCTCGTCTGCTTTTCTTTTCTTTTCTTTTGGAGAGTTTTTTGCTATAGGGCGCGTGTGCTCGCCAGACAGAGAGAGAGAGACAGAGACAGAAAGCGAGAAATCACCCCCCAGGGGGGATGGTCACGCCGCAATCCCTTCTCCTCCATTTTCCTCTCGGGATCTTGGGCACACACGCACACGCGCCCAGCGTGAGTTTTAAGCCACCGAGTCCGGGACGTGAACCATGGTCGACTACGTGGGAGTCCAGCGACATAGCCATTACGCTAACTGCTGGTTCCCTCGTTTGCTTTTCTTAACCAGCCTCCCTTTCCTCACTGGTCAGACGGGTCTAATGTATGACTGGACTCACAGAGGCCAGCTTGATGAGTACCAGCCATTATTACCGTTCTCAGATGCTGAAGATGACTGTTAAAAGCCCCTGGATTTGGTAAAAAGAAATGGTGATGTCTCAAAGAACCATAAATTACCTGGCATGAAATGTCAAGTGATATAAGTTAAAGAGGGAACCAGAGGCCCAGCCCGGTGGTGCAGTCAGCAGCAAACTGAACTGCAGTGCTGTGGAGGCCACTTAGCCGACTGTGGGTTGGAATCCTGGCCCCAGTGACTTGAAAAAGCATGCTAGGTGTATGAACATGTGTACCCAAAATCCCAACAGGATGGAGGAATGGGAAAGGGACTGCAGCATGACCATGCTCCATTCAGGGGTGCTTTCTCCCTCCCTCTCCCCGTCTCTCCTTCTCTCTCTCTGATGAGTGCATGCTCCTCTAGCAACTTTTTAAGAAAAGAATAGAAAAGTAAGAAAAGAAAATCCAACAGGCCCATGCATGCCCAAGATCCTGATGAACGGGAGGGCTGGGAAAAGGGTATCCTAGCATGACCAGACCCTGTCAACGGTGCTTCCCTCTCTCTTCCCTCTCATGATGTGCATACATGTACTACCATGAATAAAATACATAAAAAAGAGAGAGAATCAGAATTGAAGTTGTGATCACAGAATAAGACTTGGGGGGAAAAAAGCTAAAATTGAAATCATTCAGAGAAAGTGAAAAAATGGTAAAATGACAAGAATCCACAGAAGAATCCAGCTATACCTATGTACATCTAATGTGCACTGGAAAGAAATTATTATTGGAGCAAGGTTTAGAATACTGGAGAAAGAAGGTCAGCCCGTGGCCTGGTGCTTATGACAGCTGGATCCCACATGGCTGGACTACACAGCTTGAGGCCTGAACCCAGTGGCTTGAGAAACACATCAGGTGCATGTGCGAGCCTGCCCAAAATTCTGAAAGGAGGGAGAAATGGGGAAGGGATTGTGGTGTGACCATGCTTCATGGGGGGTGCTTTCTTGCTTTCTCTTTCTCCTCTCTATCTGTCAACCACATGTACCCTCAGGCAAAAATTAAAGAAAAAAAAAAAACTAGAGAAAGAGAAAAAAATCATGAAAGTCATATCAAGAGCAATGATGAAGGTTAACCCTGATGAGAAAGTCATCTCTGACTCCAGAGATATTAACAAGATGTGAGTGTGGGAAGGGGGGTCAGACCAGGGGTCAGAATTGGTTTCCTGTGTGCACCATCCAGATGGCTTCAGCCACCCCATGGCCTGGAGACGCTCTGAGAATTCTCTGTTCAGCATCACAGAGATCTTACCTGCTGTACTCTTATCTGAATTTGGACCTCCTGAAATCTCTCCCTCCATCTGCCACGGTTCTTTTCCCTTCTCCAACTGGGAAATCACACCAGGTTTGGAAAGCTGAAATCCTGCTTATGGGGAAGAAAAGACTGTGGTGAGGACAACGGGCCATCTGAAGAATTTGAAAACTGTCTTTGTTCTGGCCCTCAGAAGGATAGAACAAAAAAATAAGAGTAGAAATGACCACAGCCATTCTGACCTGATGTTCCAAAGGAACTAGAAACCAGTGAGGCAGAAGTCAAAGCCCAAGCAAAGTCCTTAATTTAGAAATAAAGGTTTCCCAACAGGCAGGTCCTGTGTACAAGGGGAACCCATCCTTACCCACTGACACCAGGTTCCCATAGTTCTCCAGCATCACCTCCCGGTACAGACTCCGGTGAGCGGGAGCCAGCTGCCCCCACTCCTCTGGGGTGAAGTCCACAGATACATCCTTGAAGGTTAACAGTTCCTAGAATATAAAATATGCTCCTTTCAGCCCAAGGTCAGAAAGCTGTTCTGACCTTGTCCAGATGCAAAGAGAGGAGCTAGCAGATGGCGTGGTAGTTTAGGCACTGGACTGCCACCTGGCTGACCATGGTTCAAGTCCTTGCTTTCTCACTTTTACTCTCTCTCTGTCTCTTTCTGGTCAAATTTTTAAAAAATGGTGATGAATAAAGTGAAATAATTTTTAAAAATAAATAAAATTTTAAAACAAAATAAAAAATAGATGCAAACAGATTCTAGTCAAGTTTTTCTGGGAAATGGTCTTGCTAACAGTTTGGATGATTCTCTACAGGTTATAAAACATTGCATAGATGCCAGGTGTTTTGACAACTTACAATTTGGCTGATGGAAAAACATTCCATAAAATTTTAAAAGTATTTACTTATTTATTATTATTGTTATTTTTCAATTTACTAAGGGCACATGTGCTCACCAGAGAGAGACAGACAGAAAGAGAGAGGGAAAAATAAGAAAGCAAGCCACCAAGTCTGGGACTTGAGCCAGGGCCAGCCATGTGAGAGTCCATTGCCTTAACCATCATGCCACCTGCTGACCCCAAACACTACATAAATATTAAAGGTCACAGAATGGTGTGCAGTAATTTAGAGTACTTGGGAAAGGGGAGAGCTCACAAGGGACTAAGGTCACAACAGAAGACAGTGATCTTCATTGGGCTGAAAGAACTGGTTGAAATGAGAGCACATTAGTTTCGGTGCAATACTTTCAGCTAGGTTCTTCTGTTAGAAAGAGGGGTATGAGGGACCAGCAGTTAGCATAATGGCTATGTCGCTGGACTCCCACGTAGTCGACCATGGTTCAAGTCCCGGACCCAGTGGCTTAAAACTCACGCAGGGTGCGTGTGCGTGCGTGCCTAAGATCCCGAGAGGAGAATGGAGGAGAAGGGATTGCGGCATGGCCATCCCCCCTGGGGGCTGATTTCTTGCTTTCTATCTCTCTGTCTGTCTGGCAAGCGCACACGCACTATAGCAAAAACCTCTCTTAAAAAAAAGAAAAAAAAAAAGAAAGAGGGGTATGAGGGCCAACAGGTGGTGTGGTGGTCAAGGCACTGGACTCCTACATTTATGACCACAGTTCGGGTCCTGGACCTGGTGGCTTGCTTTCTCACTCCCTGCTACCCCCGGTCAAATTAAAAAAAATAATAAATAAAAATAATAAAATAATATATTTTTAAAAACAACAAACTCTTCTGTCTTCTAAAATCTGTTTCTCAGACTATTCTGTACTTCCCTTGAGTTTCTGTAGGCATCTGAGGTTGGTGCAGAGCTCTGCCTGCCACCAGAGCCACTGGCTTTCTGATTAGCTCATTTATGACATACCGCACACCGGCAAAACTACTCTTAGCGATTTTTTTCTCCTTCTCTACTGAGACTACTTCTTTGGTGTCCTTCATGACCTGCCAGCATCTTCTTCGCTCATTTCTCTTGTCAGCTATGGTTCTGTTCTAGGACTGACCAAAATTTCTTAGAGGTCATTAGTGGGGAAACAACTTGTAGAACAGCAGCCTGCCTCACCATCATTGTTGGGTGCACCATAAACCACACTTCCCAAACCTTCACCCCTACCAACACCGGCCTTCTTCCAAACTATGAGATGCTCAAAGAAGAGCATGAGGTATCTGTGCTATGAGTGCCCCCAACCACGACTCCAGTAATGTCCACCATAACCAACATCCAAAGCGAGACCTCGGTGCCCAACCATGTGGTCTGGTCCCTGTTCAACACGGTCTTTATGAACTATTGCCACATGGGCTTCATCGCATTCACCTACTCTGTGAAGTCTAGGGACAGAAAGATGGTGGGTGACATGACTGGGCCCAGACCTACACCTCCACTGCCAAGTGCCTAAATATCTTCGCCCTGGTCACCAGCATCATTTTGACCATCATGTTCACCAACCTTTTCACCACTGCTCCAGGAATAACTGCAGAAATTATTAAACTGATGAAAGAGTCTTTTCAAGGCCATAGGCCATGGTCTGTTCCCTGGGACTTTGGGACTGTCCCCTTGCTTTTATACTTGCTTGTACTCATATGTCTGACTACAATGTAATTTGATAAAGTGCATGTGTTTGTTAAAAAAAAAAAAAAGTCATTACTGGGGCCAGCAGGTGTTATGGTGGTTAAGGCACTGGTTACCACATAGTCAACTACTTTGAGTCCCAGACCCAGCAGCTTGAAAGATATGCTGGTCACCTGTGTGTGTGTACCCAAAATCTCAAGAAGAGAATGTAGGAGAAGGGACTCCAGCATGAACACCCACCTGTGGGGTGATTTATCACATTCCCTCTATCTCTCTGGTGACTGCATGCACATGCCCTATGGCAAAAACCAAACAAAATAAACAAACAAACAAAGTAATTAATGAAGTTTATAAATCTCCAAGAATATCAGAACCTGAGTCTGTGGATTTTAAACAATAGTTTAGTTACTTAAAATGTCTTATTATGGGGGCCAGCAGGTGACGTGGTGGTTAGGTAATGGGTTCCCACATGACTGACCGAGATTCAAGTCCTGGACCCAGCGGTTTGAAAATCATGCTGGGGCTTCAGAAGAAGACTCCTCCCTGACTCCTGAGAACTAGTGATTTCAGGGAAAAAGAAGAAATGAAGATTTTCTACTGATAATTCAGCCTTCAGCCCACAAACTCGATATTCCTCAATATCCACTGAACCTGCTGCACAAAGGGATAAAAACAGAATGGCAAAGAGATTATAGATCACCTCCTTCTGCATGCTCCTGAACGCTCAGATTGAACTTCAAGAATTAGGAAGAAACATACCATCCATCAGAAGACTAGGAATCACGGCAGGGCCACAAGAAATATGGGAAAGCAAGAAAATACTTCTCCTCCAAGGGAAAAGAATAACTCTTCATCCACAGACAGTTCAATGGAAATCATGGAAATGTCTGATGAAGAATTTAGAATATTCATAATAACGCAGCTAACCAAGATGGAAGAGAAGAGAGACAACGAACTACAGAAGAGGCAGGAGAAAGGAGCTGAGTAGTTTTAGGAGGTGAGGAAATTCTTGCAAGATCTAAAAGAGGAATTACACACTCTAAAAAAGAATCAAATGGACCTGTTAGAGAAGAAGGCTATAATACAGAAAGTCAAAATCTCCCTTGAAAGTATTAAAAGCAGACTACTAGATCATACTGAAAATAGAATTGCAGACATAGAAGATAAAATTGCTGGCCTAGAAAAATCCACCACAAAGACAGAAAACAGCCCCCCAAAATGAGAATAATATACAAGAAATACTAGATACCATCAAACGTCCAAACATCAGTATAATTGGTATTCCAGAAGGCGAAGAGACTCATAAGGGCATTGATAATCTATTCCATAAAATCCTGCAAGAAAACTTCCCAAACCTAGAAAGGCACTCTAAAATCCAGTCCCAAGAAATACAAAGGAGGGTACCAGCAGTTAGCATAATGGCTATGTGGCTGGACTCCCATGTAGTAGACCGCGGTTCGTGTCCTAGACCTGGTGGCTTAGAACTCACGCCGAGCATGAGTGCGTGCGTGCCCAAGATCCCGAGAGGAGAATGGAGGAGAAGGGATTG